CCATCGCTATTAGGTTGGAGGCCATCGCTATTGGGTTGGAGGCCATCGCTATTGGGTTGGAGGCCATCGCTATTAGGTTGGAGGCCATCGCTATTGGGTTGGAGGCCATCGCTAGTAGGTGGGAGGCCATCGCTGGTAGGTTTGAGGCCATTGCAGAAAGAGCCTTGCTTCTACGCACAAAGGCCTTTGGCCATCTTTGGCCTCAGCCTCCTGGAGGTCCTTGAAAAATGAGGCCCATCCAGTGCTCGCGATCTTCCTGTCGGCACAAGTCTCGCAAAAGCTCTGGAAGCTCTTTCACTACAAGTCCAGCATCCTGGCGAGAGTTGTGTTGCTTTCATTTGCTTTCTGTGAATTGTACGCCGTACAACTTGAGTTTGAGCAGCTTTTGACCGCCGGTCGCTGCCACTTGGCTCTCCTGCACCCTGCAGGGGCCCCTTGAGACCTCACACGTGCTACGCACATGCTAGAAAAGAGACGCAGTCACTTTTTCACTTTCCATCTCGACACTTCGTGCGGTCGCGATACAACACGAGTTTCCACTTCCGTGTTTTCATATTGGTAGCGGAGCCTCCTCACAGGAGGGGGCTCCAGCATCGCAATGGCTTCGTCGCCGACCCGCCGCGGAACCTCACGCGACGCGAATGGCGGCAGCTCCTCCGCGAATGCTGGCAAGGATCTGAAGGACAACTTCGTGCCCCGCTTCGACAACACGACCACGACCTATGCTGAATGGCGGAGGCGAGTGACCTTGTACGCCCGGAAGCTTGAGCTTCAAGGGCGGAAGAGCGAAATCGCCCTCAACGTCCTCTCAGTCCTTGAAGGTCCATCCTGGACCCAGTGTGAAGATTTGGATCTCCAGGAGCTGGAGAAAGAATCTGGCCTCGACATCCTTCTCAAGCGCCTGGACCGCCAATGGGCGTATGACGCCAAGGTCGAAATGCCGACCCACTTCGAGCAGTTCTTCTTCAAGCTGCGGCGCAAGAAGGACCAGTCGATCCTGGAATACACCACTGAGTTCCACCAGACCCTCAGACAGGTCTCAAAGCACAAAGTTGATCTTCCTGAGGAGATCACCGGCTGGATGATGTTGAAGAGAGCCGGACTGACCAAGGAACAAGAGCAGCTCATCCAGACCAACATCGGCTCGACCCTTACGCTTCCAGCTGTCGAGCAGGCTCTCTACCTGATCCTCGGCCAAGATCATCGCCATGTACACCTTCCTGCACACCTGAGGAAGCCACAGCTCCCCGGCCGATGGAAGAGGCAGAGCCAAGCCTTTTGGGAGGAAGACTATGAGCTGGATGAGAACTATGAGAATGAAGAGACCTACTTCCAGGATGCCATCGACCCCGACGACTTCCAGGAGACCATGGGAGAATGGGATGACCCAGAGCCCGATGACACCTTCTACTACGATGAAGCTCAAGAAGAGCTGGACTCCATGTTTGACACTCAGGAGTTCGATGACATCTACAGCACCTACGTCGACGCCAAGAACCGCCTCAACCAGCTCAGACAAAGCCGTGGCTTCTACCCCGTCGTGGCAGTGGTTGATGGTGGAAAGGGTCAAGCACCTCTGATGGCCCAAGGTTCCGGCAAAGGCAAATCCAAGAGCCCTGGCAAGTCAAAGAGCTCTTCCAAAGGAAAAGGCTCAAAGTCTGGAAAAGGGCCCAGCGGCAAGCAGAGAGCTCGCTCAGCTATGGTATGCCTTCGTTGCGGAAAGCCTGGCCACTTCGCAGCAAACTGTTCGACGGCAGGTGCACAGTCAAGCTCACCAAAGAAGCGACCTGCAGATGATGACACAATGGTCCACATGGTCCTCAGCACTGAAGAGTTCTATGATGCTGAGGAGGGCTACGACTATGAGAATGAGATCTTCTATGACCCTGAAGAGGCCTACGCCCAAGGGGAAGCTCTGGTTCGTGCCGGCGGCTGGCTCACGCCGGATCCTGACGCTTGCATCCAGGACCAAGGAGCATCATCATTCCTGGCTGGCAGTGAATACATCCTGCGCTACCTCAAGTGGCTGGAAATCCTCGGCTACCCCATGGACAAGTTGAACTTCAAGCAGTGTGATAAGTCCTTCCGCTTCGGTGGCGATGCTACAGGACAGTCAAAATGGATGATCGAGCTACCAACACGTCTGGCTGACGTTGGTGGCAAGATCCAAGCCTATGTGATCTACGGTGCCACTCCCATGTTGTTTGGCCGACCCTTGCTTGAAGCCCTCCATGCCGAGATTGACTTTGGCCGCTCTCGGATGCGCATGCTTGACCAGGAGACCTGGCGGGATATCCCTCGTGGCCGTCAGGGAGCACAATGTTGCTTCGCCTCGCTGAAGGGGTGACACGCCCTGAGGATTTCTTCCCCGAGACCTTCGATCTTCGATGTGAAGATGATCACAACAATGGCCTCAAGCTGAATGACTTCTTGGACGACCTCAACGCCCACGAGCGCTTCTTCGAGATGACCACTGAAGTGCACGCCTATTTTCAGGCATGTGAAAAGGGTGAAACTGATGAGACTACCTATATGGAGGTCGACCAGGAGAACATGACCGACCTACTACCTGGTGAAACAAGCAAAACGATTGAGCAGTTGGAAAAGACCCTCACCATGTTCGAGCACCAGTTAGCTGAACACCAGAAGACACTTCATCAAGAAGTACATCATGCCCGGGAACATGGCCTTTCCCACCGCAAGCGGCTGATCTGGGAAGTCTATGCTGGAGAAGGCCGCATCACTCAACTCCTTCAAGCTCATGGCGATGTGGAGGTGATGCGCTTTGGATGGGAAGATGGATGGGACTTCAACAGAGCCGCGCATCGAAAAGCTCTCCTACGCTTGTGCGATGAGCTTGAGCCTGACGAGATCTACATGTCACCCAGTTGCACTCTCTGGTCGAGGATGCAGCAGATCAATGTGCACAATGAGGCTCAAGCTGAAGATCTTCAAGAACGCCGTGAAGTGGACCGGCGAACCCATCTGACCATGTGCAAGAAGCTGTATTACAAGCAGGTGAGAAGAGGAGACCACGCCCACATCGAACACCCTCACCTGAGTCTAGCTTGGGAGACACCTCAACTCCGACACCTTCCCGGACATCAAGCGATCTTCGACCAATGTGCCTACGGAGCAGTTGCCGAAGCCGATGACGGCTCACTTCTGCCCATCAAGAAGACCACCAAACTACAGACCACCAAATGGGCAATGTTCAATTTGATGTCCAAAAGGTGCGATGGACAACATGCTCATCAACGCCTTGAAGGACGGAACAGGTGCAAGAAGGCTGAAAACTACCAGACAGAGCTAGCAACAGCACTCGCTCGTGGACTACTTCTTCATGAAGGCCTCAATGAGCAAGTCTACACCGTCCACAATGAAGATGACAAAGCTCTCACTGGTGTCCTTCGCAAACTCGGAAAAGTTCATGGCAGTGAAGCAGTCCGCATTGCCTACCGACTTCATCGGAATCTTGGTCATCCTCGCAAAGATGTTCTTCTCAAGATGCTCAAGGAGCGAGGATGCAATGAGGCAATTCAAGCGGCAGTTCAAGACCTCCACTGTCCATACTGCGAGATCCATTCCGTCAAGAAGGGCAACGCACCTGGCCACTTGGACAGACCCACTGAGTTCAACTCCCAGGTTCAAGCAGATGTTTTGTGGTTGGAGATGGACGAGATTGGCATGCTCCTTGAGGCTGGTCAACGCAAGCAGCGCACCAAGCGCATTGCCGTACTCATCATGGTGGACGTTGCCACTCGCTACATGGCAGCTCGCACAGTCCCAGATGAAAAGGGCATCTCTCTTCAAAAGGCCCTTGAACGAGCCTGGATCCAGTTCCATGGACCTCCGAAACAGCTCTATGTCGATGAAGGAACTGGATGGGCTTCAGATTCCACAGCTACATGGTGTGAACAGCACGACATTGAGCTTCGCATAGCACCTGGCCAAGCCCACACTCGCACCAGCATCGTTGAGCGCAGACATCAACTGGTTCGGAAGGCAGTCTCCATCTTCATGCTGGAGCACGAACTTAAAGGCCTTGACGGAGTTCAACAGGCTTTATCATGGGTTGTTCCCTCGGTCAACTCCAACACCTTTGTGAACGGCTTCACTCCGTCCCAGCTTGCACTAGGCCGAGAACCTTCAATGCCCGGACTCCTTTCTGATGAACGTACCGGACCACTACAACTTCAGATGTCCGAGCAGGAGCGGCTTCATAGACGCCTCACTTTGAAGTTCTCAGCCCAGCAGGCTTGTGGCAAGGCTGAAATTGATGTCAAGTTGCGCCGAGCTCTCCTTCGCAGGTACACTGGCCGTGATGAAGACCTTCATCCTGGAGAACGATGTCTGTACTGGCGCGATGCTGCTGATCGAGCACACACCATTCGCTGGAAAGGTCCTGCGATCGTTCTGGCCATCGAGAGAAACCCTGACACTGGCACCGTGTCCTGCTATTGGTTGGCTCATGGAACCGTTCTTCTCCGTGCCAGTACCCAGCACGTTCGCAAGTTGGTCAACGACACTGGCACAATTGACGGTTCAGCTCGAGTTCAACAGGCTCTACGAGACCTACGACAGCGGCGAGCAGTTCGCATTGTGGACCTTCGACGCTCCAACAAGCGCTCCATCGACGAGGTTGACCCTGAGATAAGTGACCTTGAGTACACTCCCACGGACACTGAAGCTCAACCATCTACAATGGCTTCTCCCGGACAACCTGATGGACAACAACAGCCCGCTTCGGAGCACGCTGCTCGATCCGCACCCTCACGACCTCGACGTGAAGAGCCTCAACGAGAGCCACCTGATTCACTTCCTCCTGCACAGGAAGCAACTGAGGATCAACATGATCAAGATCCCCTTCCTTCAGAGGTTCCTGATGATACACCTGAACTACCACGAGAACAAGCTGGACCTCAACAGTTGGAAACGGGAGAAAATGAAGATGAAGATGAAGAACCAATGGGCGAACCAGCACATATGCAAACGCCCAAGGCACCTCGTGATCCTGCTGATCTTCCTGCAGTTCCCGAGGACCACGACTTGGATCAACCTCCGGAAGCACCACCAACTTCATCACAAAGTTCAATGCCAGTGGATGCCACCTACGTCCCTCCTGCTGTGCCTGAAAGCTTTCAAGATCGACGACGACGCTTCGATCAGCAGGAAACCATTTGGACAAGAAAGAAAGCTCGCACTGACGAGCCAGAAGTTGAAGTTGGCCTCCACTCCATGGACTTCTCCAAGACCACTCTTCCAGAAGGCTGGACCTATAACAAGAAGAACAACGAGTTTGTCTTGGGAGCCACTCAGGACTGGTGGAGCTTCGAGGATGGCTTTTTGGTCCGCAACCACGTTTGGAGCAGAACAAGCACCTACCATCCTGAAGAGTTCCCGGTCTCTGCCGACTTTCTGCAGACCACCACCGGTCTGTCTATGCAGCAGGGAACTCGCACCATCTATGTCAACTCCACTGAGGAGCAGTACTTTACTGATGGATGGACTGGCAAAACCCTGTACCCTCTCACACAGGCAGGTGCAGAGCACTATGGTCTTCACTACATCGGCGACCTCACCAACAAGCTTCGCAGATGCAAGACTTTGCGTGGCCGAGGCCACATCTGGCAAGCAGTTGGTATGGGCGCTCCTCGCAAGAAACATGTTAAGGAGAGCGCCGACCTCAATGAGCGCCGGATGTCACTGGAGGACCGCCTGACCTTCCTGGAGGGCAAGAAAGCAGAGCTCTCAAGCATCTTTGAAAATGGAGTTTGGGAGATTGAGACCGACCCCGCTTCTGTCGACCACAACAGAGTGATGAAAGCTCGCTTTGTTTTGAAGTGGGCAGCGGATGGCAAGGGCGGCCTCAAGGCCAAGGCCCGTTTGGTGTTGCAAGGGTTCTCTGACCCCGACCTGTTGAATGGCGCTCTGGATACTTCATCGCCGACTTTGGCAAGGACCTCTCGACAAGTGTTGCTGGCTATCAGCCAAGTTTCTGGCTGGAAACGCTGGACAGCCGACGTCAGTACGGCATTCCTCCAAGGTGATCCTCAAGAACGAGTTCTTTGGGCTCGCATTCCTCGAGACGCCTGCAACATCATCGGTGTTCCTGCTGGAACATTGATGAGGCTGATCAAGCCCATCTACGGTCAAGCCGACGCCCCAAGGCAATGGTTCATCGTGGCCAGAAGGCGACTTGAAAGCCTTGGATACCGAGCTCACCCACTGGATCAGTGCCTCTTCACCTACCACGACTCCGATAAGAACCTGATCTCCATGGTGGGACTCCACGTCGACGATCTTTTGGGCTGTGGTAAAACCGACTCCTCTGAATACGAGCACCTCAAGTCCAAGCTGAAGGAAGCCTTCAACTTCAAGCACTGGACGGAAGAGGGAGACACACCGTTGGAGTTTTGCGGCTGCCACCTGAGCCGAGACAACACTGAGTCCAAGCTGCACCAGAGCGACTATTTCAAGAAGGTCAAGCCCATGACATGCAATGATTATGATGCCAACCGTTCCCTCAACAACAAGGAACAAAGTTGCCTCAGAGCCCTTCTCGGAGCACTTCAATGGCCTGCTACTCAGACCTCACCTCATTTGAGTGCTTCGGTATCTTTGTTATGCGGCGAAGTCACAGCCGCCACAGGTGACACTGCAGCTCAAGCCAACAAGCTCCTCCGCTTTGCCAAGAATAACAGCGATGCTGCTCTGATCTTTCGAGATCTTGGAGGGGACATGGAGAAGCTGTGCATGGTGGCCATGAGCGATGCAGCTTGGGGAGTTCGTCGAAACAGCGAATCCCAAGGTGGCTATGTGATCTTCCTCTGCAACCAGCAGATCCTAGAAGATGGCTCTACACAGGACTACATTGTCCTGGACTGGAGAAGTTTCAAATTGCCAAGAGTGAGTCGCTCGTCACTCAATGCTGAGAGCCAGGCCTGCTCGGCCGCCATGGACGCCCTGGAGTACCTGTTGATCTTCTGGGAGGGCTGCGCCCGACACGACTTCCAACTTCGACAGGTGGACGAGTTTTCACTGACTATGCCCTCGTCACTGGTGGTCGACGCCAAGGCGCTCTACGACTCGCTCAAGGCTGAAACTCCCAGCCTACAAGGCGACAAAAGAACAAAGATTGAAGTCATGGTGACCAAGCAGAAGATGCTGGCAATGAAGTCCCGGCTGAAATGGGTCTCATCTGAAGCTCAAATGGCCGATGGAGTCACCAAGTATGCCGCCAGACAGCTCTTTGCCGATCGTCTTCGTTCTCATCACCTTTCACTACAAGCTGATGTCTCTTTTCAGGCATCCAAGAAGAAGACCCTGGCAGAGCGACAGGCAAGCGCAAGACGCCATGCAATCACTCGGACTGGCAACCCCAACCACTTGGCCTTTGCCGTCCTCACCTCGCAGATGATTGGAGTCAAGGCCATGACGGTGGATGAGGTCATAGCAACCATGCTGTCACCCGAGATAACCGTGACCCTGTATGTCATTGTGATTGGCATGCTGGTATGGCGCTTCCTTTGTGGCAACAAGGGAACTTCATCATGGAGCTCCACGGTTACAAGAACAACCTGGACTATGACTTCAACGAGCTCTACAGCGGCCGAGACACAGACCGAGAAGGAGCCTGAAACCTCCTTTGGTGTTCTCCGCACCGAGAACCTGCGGCTGCAAGACATCGTGAGAGACCAAGAAGCTGAACTATTTGACCTACAAGCTCAATGCAGAGCACAAGAAGAAGAGATTGAACAGCTCATCGACATCCGAGAGTACATGAGGATTGAGATGCGCGAGATCGACACCGAGTACAAGAAGGCCCGCGACAACTGGATCGATGCGCACAACCGCTTAGCTGCGGTACGTGATCAGCTCTCCAGAAGTTGGGTTCCAGATGCGGTCATCACCACACGCACTGGAAAGTCCTACCACACCTATGCAGACTGTCAAGCTTTGGCCTCCTCTGATGCCACCCAGCTGAGACAGTGGAACTGCTGCGCCTTTTGCAGCCAGAAGCATTTGGAGTTTTGGAGGTCGTACTAAAGACCACCACCGGTGTGAATTGTACGCCGTACAACTTGAGTTTGAGCAGCTTTTGACCGCCGGTCGCTGCCACTTGGCTCTCCTGCACCCTGCAGGGGCCCCTTGAGACCTCACACGTGCTACGCACATGCTAGAAAAGAGACGCAGTCACTTTTTCACTTTCCATCTCGACACTTCGTGCGGTCGCGATACAACACGAGTTTCCACTTCCGTGTTTTCATACTTTCACTTTCCATTGTGAGGATAGTGGAAATTTGAACATAGCAGGTTGAAGGCATTGTTGCAGGTTTAAGGTTGGTGGGTGGGGGTGAAGTTTCCGATACTTGAAGAGTTGCATTCACAACGAAGTGTGCCGCCACAGTCGGTGTTGGTTGGGCTTGGGAGGACTAGTGGTGTGCAGGTGTGACAAGCCAGGTGCTTGAAACATCTTGAAACAGCATTGCAAGTTCTTTCTCAATGGACCTATCTATTTTTCTATTTTTCATTATGTTTCTATCCAATCCAATCTAACCAATCTAATCTAATTGTTTTATCTTATCTGTCGCTATATCTATCTCTCTATCTATATCTATCTATCTCTCTCTCTCTATATATATATATTTGTCTATGGTCTATCTGGACTTACTTTTTACCAGTTGGGTCTCTTCTGGCAAGTATTTTAGCTTCCGAAATCATTCCCAGAAGTTTCGCCATTACCACATGCAGGGGAATTTGGAAGTGGGTGCCATGAATTCCAAGTGATTTGAGGAGGTGCAGGATCCTCCGCAAGTTCTAGGCAGCATTTGTACATATCACAGTTGCACCTTCTTTGACCTGAGGTGTGTTCTCGGCAATATGGATGAGCCCTATCATAGTCATTGCAGTGACCTGTGCATGGGTACCTTTTGAAGTAGTATCGCATCTCACACCGGAAAACAGCATGCTCCCCGGCAGAGGATATGCTGCAGTACTATTGTGCTATGCAAATATCATACAACATCATATGTATATACACACATACAGAGATTCGCTGCAAGCTTGGTAGACAACTTTGGGAAGAAGCTAAGCTAAGAAGCTATCTTATTTGCTTGATGTCTCTTCGTTACTCTCGCACTTCCAGGTATTCAGAGCACTTCTCTAAACCTGGAATTATATACTGTACTTCAGTGTGCACCCACGCAGGTATTCTGCGTACTGAGTGGGCTATCCCTCCAACCCAATGACAGTGTTAAATCATTGTCTTAGCAGACGGCCCTTGTCATTGGCCTCACTGTCGCTGGGTTGGGTGATGACGTGTATACAGTATATATTGAGCCCCTCAACAAGTATTGTACTCGTATTCATCAAATCAACTCTCCCATCTTATTTGTTTGCGCTTGCAACCAACTGAACTTTGTGCTTCACAAAGTGCCCTTTGAGTGGTGTGTACTACGCACTACGGATAGACAAAAGAAGACACACTGATGCACCAGCTGAGAACCTACAAGCAATTTGTCAACGCGCAGCAAAGTCGACCAAACCAAATAGAAAGCAGTACTGTAAAGCAGTCAAGCCGCTTACCGGGCCCAGGCTTGCTTTCTTACCATTCCTGGCAATCGTGGTGCTAGATGCATGCCTTTATTGGAAGCCCTCACGAACGTTACAAAAGAGCAACCCTCCCACGAATGATGCGGGCAGCGTTCTGGACAAGAACCACCAGGAAGCTTTCCGAGTAGCTCCTTTGTTGCAACCATCTCTCATGTGCATGAACCAGAGCCAGGTAGTTAGATGTTGTTTTTTGCCTGTTGATTTCTTCAATATTTCCCATCACAAGCATGTTGTGTTCAATCCTTGCAGGACTCATCCAGGTCGCTCTCAACGCTGGAAACGTATGCTCGCACCTGGGAAGTTGAAGAGAAGGACGATACACTGGTTGTGTGGAAATTTTGAGCCTGACTGATGTAGAGGGGACGTAAGGAATCCCAGCCGAAATCCGTGCACCAAAAGATGCGGTCATCCCGCTCCTGAAGACTTGAAGACTTCAGTTTTTCCTTGGGTCTCTGCAACCCTCAGTTGGACATGCACAAAAGAACTCTTTGTCATTCTACGCTGATTGCAGTGCTTGTTTGGTGTGCCGGTTGCTGGTACTTGAAAGTGTTGCTTGGCTGCTGGGTTCTGTTTTCTCCACTTCACACTATACTCCGCAATCTATTCCTCTTGTCCAAGACAAGTCAGAATGCCTCTTTGTATTGCAGCAGAGCTGCATTTTCGCGGAAAGAGCAGCGTTATGCCGTGTGCTGAGTGGTCAAAACGAGAGATGTGCACCATGCTATGGCATCACACTCAAGGCAAAGAACTTGGGCTGATGCTGGCTGAAATGACTTGCTGGAGGGGTACATTCTTTGTGGCTCTGATTCAAGTCACCATATCAAGGTGCAGCCCAAATCAAGGCAGACATTCACAGAGATTAGACTCAGACTGAAATGTCGAAGTTGACGCTTCATTCTCTGGAAACGTACTGCACTGATTCTTCCAACAGCCGGTTTCCTTTGGCCATCGCTATTAGGTTGGAGGCCATCGCCATTAGGTCGGAGGCCATCGCTTCTAGGTTGGAGGCCATTAATACAATTATATAATTAGGTTGGAGGCCATCGCTATAAGTTATCATAGACGCCTTCTGCTTGCATCAGAAAGCCACACAACGTGCCCGCCATGTTACGCTCTCTTGCGTCACTGCGGGATGGTTTCCGGACTAAGACAGGTGGGTATTACTCCAGCGCAAATCCAATCAACTGAGCATCATATTCTGCAAAAGCGAAGTCCCCTGTCACATGCGGATATCCAATTGGCTGGTACACGATATGGCCAAACATTTTGAAGTCATTTTTTGGCCATGCACTACATGTGTTGCCATCCATGTACTACGTAATTCTCTTGGAGTGCGTAATTCCTTGCACTTTTTGCAAAAGGACGGTAAAGGACATGCAGAATTCTTGGAATCCTGCAAGGTGGTCGCTTTCACCGTCGCCAGCAGCCCTGGGCACCCAAGGTGCTGGTCTCCGTGGGTTTGAGCGGCCAGCTGGCGAGGTTTGGGAGTTTCAGAGCAGGTGTTCTTGGAGGTTTGGGATTTCGGGACTCTCAAATCATGTTGCCTCAAGTCATGTTGCACTCGAAAATATCTGCCAGACTTTGCCTCACCCAGTTGCCTCAGATCTCGTGCGTTACGACTCGTGTCGTATCGTTGACTTGGGTTTCTATTGTTAATAGGTATCTAAGGATTCAAACATGGCAATATGGACCATATGGACCACTCTCATCCAACATCATTCAACCAAGGCTCTGTACTGCTTGGAGTAGTCTTTGCAAACGTGAGCTCAGATGACGATGCTGCTCAGATGCTGAGAATGCTGGAGGTCAATGGATCCATTCTTCACAATGCCAGCGTACCATTCTTGTAGGGGCTAGGTGCTAGACGCGTAGTATCGCTAGTAGGTAGGAGGCCATCGCTAGTAGGTCGGAGGCCATCACTAGTAGAGTAGGTAGGAGGCCATCGCTAGCAGGTAGGAGGCCATCGCTAGTAGGTCGGAGGCCATCACTAGTAGGTAGGAGGCCATCGCTAGTAGGTCGGAGGCCATCGCTAGTAGGTCGGAGGCCATCACTAGTAGGTAGGAGGCCATCGCTAGTAGGTAGGAGGCCATCGCTAGTAGGTTGGAGGCCATCGCTAGTAGGTCGGAGGCCATCGCTAGTAGTAGGAGGCCATCGCTAGTGGGTAGGAGGCCATCGCTAGCAGGTATAGAAGGCCATCGCTAGTAGGTTGGAGGCTATTAGTTTGGTGCTAGACGCTTAGTTTGCACCTGAGGAGAAGATTTGGATTACTCGCCGAGGGCCGTTTAACTTGGCAGCTCAACGTGCCGTGGAGTGGGCACCCCTGGTGCCCTGCTTTGGATCGGGTGTGGTTGCAGCACCTAGGCTTGATGAAAAGAGATTCCATGAGATTACAAGATAATATCATTTTGCAGAAGTTCACATTTGAGAGTGTATGGCCAAGGCATTGCTCTCCAAATATATGCCGAAGCAGGTGAAGCTACCATCAACAGTCTTGTGTGTTCTGCTTTTAAACTGTTTATATAAAGATAACTTTTTCCCAGTTGTTAACTTGGCTGCACCTGCACTGCAAGTCACGTTTGTCTTGTCTGAAGCATTGGCAGTTGCTGGGCTTGCAAGGAAATCCCTTCGACTTCCCATCAGCGTGCACGAGTTGACAGCTTTGCCGTTGTCGACGCTTGTTCCAATGTCTATCCACTTGACATAATGCAGGGGGTCTTGGGGAAGGTTGTGATGTGCAGCATTCATTGGATTGAGTCAGTGCGCTTCTACCTATTGAACTTAACCACACTTATGAGATGGATATCGCATGACATGGCTTCAACTTTGGGGATCCCTCCAATTAAGTTGAGATCGGACCGTTTGAACCATCTCCACGGGCCCCACAAGTCCCATTTTGCGCTGAGGATCCTGCTCGCTTTTCGTGACTCGTCCAACACAGAACCGTGACCTGTCTCGCCCAGTTTTCAATGCGACGATTGTGATCTGGGACTGACAGGACTGGTTGGTTTCTCAGATCCAAATAGGTCAGTTGGTATCAGTTGGTCTCTATGAATGAATCTAAAGGTATCTAACAAGAAGGCAACTGTTTAAGTGGTAGGCCGGGCCTCAGGTCACACTATGTCACACTTAATCCAAGAAGACCACCAAGACTGGCCAAGACTTGTATCTTTTCTCAAGGCTTTCAGCTCTCCTATGAACGTTGGTGGGCCATTTGGCTGCATCGAGTCCTTTCAGTTGTACACTCAGTTCCAATCTTTGGTCTCGCAAAGCTCTTCACCTGAAAAGGCACCACTTCACGTCTTTGTTCCCAACATCTTTTTCCCTCACCCCATGTGTCCTGAAGGCTCATTCGTTATGCACCTATCCACCAAGCATGCAAAGCAAAGATGGCAGACACAGCGACAGAGTCCTCTCACCTGTGTCGACCTCAACGTGTCAACCTGTGTCGACCTGAACCACCCAAGGCCTCTCGTCAACATTTACAGGAAGTGGGCACCAATGCAATTGCCGTGGCCATGTGTTCAGCGAACAATCAGGAGGTGATCTCATTGGATCGTAGTGGTGAGGCCAAGCCCGACGTTCCGTGGTAGTTCGTTTAGGTTTGTTGCTTCTTTTTTTGTGGACTGTCAGCCCACCGAGCAAACCCTCAGAAAAGGATTAAAGCTAACGAGCTGGGACCTTACAAGACTGTCAAAATCTGTTTGAAGCTAGGTGCTATGTTGCATAATTAGATAGGCTCTCTTTCGTTTATCAGGACGCCTAACAAGGATCCAAGATCATCTAGGGTAGTTCATCATTTCCGGATTTTGAGGCTCAAGAAATCGAAGAGAACGAGCGCCGAATGCTCGGACTTCTTGACGCAGCGTGCTGCCTTGCTGAGCAAGCTTTGTCCATTGGACGTCCTCCACATCCTGCCAACAGTGTGGAAAAATGGGAGCCGTTTGATACACATTTGCACCCGGATGATGCTAAGCAAATCCGACAATCTGGACATCCTGTACATTGCTGCTTTGATGCCATTTTCACCACCATTCACAGGGGGCAGATGCTCAATGTTTATTCCGCCGAGCTGGCAAGTGGGATGTATCAGCTGGCGTCCAATATGTTTGCAGGCTACAAATTTTGCGAAATGATACTAACTCAACCAAATCCTGCTCCTTTTGCAGCACCTCGACAGGCATTACTAGTGTTCCAAGATGCAGCAGTCATGCAAACTGAGCTTTTATGCCAATTCTAAGGTTCACATGCGCACTATTTTGATGGTCTTCTGCATCAGCTTTCCCTTTACAATTATTGGACGTGTGAGCCCATTGAGTTTGATGCTGATGCAGTCTGCGTTGAGCTTTAGCTTCCTAGTGAGCAATTTGTTAAACATGCTGCATGCTCCTTCTATTCGGCAATGGTGCAGGTCACTGGTGCAAGGAAATCTGACCCGCGACAGCCGAGACGTTCTATATATTGTAACTCTAACCTTGTCCTGACAGTTTAAGATGTCAAACTCCCGATAGAACTCGTGATCGAGTGGTGTGACATAGGTTCAAACATGTTCTAGATTTCTAAACTATTTGTACCTCTGTGAATATAGACATGGGCGATTGATGGCTATTGTACTCTGACACTTCTCCATGGTTTCTGAATATATATATATAACTATATTATATAAACCGATTCCGCAACTCATTCCTAACCGGCATGTATCTATATGCTGTACTTCACCACTAAGGCTTGCTGGGGATTGAGTTCGTGAGCCGTCAGATGGAGCACCCCTTTGGCAGTGACGAGTCTGACATTCCCTTGAGACACTTGTGATCATTTGTGACGTGTGCGCGTCGGAAGGGGTCGGGTGGTCAGATGTTCTGGCGGGGACCCGCTGGGTGTTCGTTGTCATTGTTTCCTCTCGGTCTTGGCGCGGGTTATATAAGTGCTTTTGGATGTGTTTTGTTTTCGCTGGTCCTCGGTCCTGAGGAAAGGTGCTGGGACTAACGCGCGATTCTATCCACCTCATTTGCCAAAAGCACCAGATTGCAGAAGATGATGGCAGCAGTGAAAAAGACTGACACAAGATCTTGCTTGGAACGTATTCCCCATGGGTCTTACCCACCAGATTGTCGTGACGCTTGTAATGTATGGTAATGTTGGGTGGTGTGCATGGCAACGTTTGAAGCAGAGTCAAGTGTAAAACGATGGTGCCATTGGAGCACAACAATAGTTTTTGTAGTTTTCGGATCCCTCCATAAGTGACCAAGGTGACCAAGCTACAGTAGCCATTAGGTTTGTGTGATACGATTGTCTAGCAGTCTAACCAGGGTGGGTGCTTCTGTGGTTTGAGGGATCGACAAGATCCTTGGAAGTGTATGCGCAAGTTTTACGGCAAAGCACAATCCAGCATGCGGACTCGGCTCAGACCGGAGGGTGCGGACTCTCAGTCCCAGTTTGCACCCAGTACGAACATCCGATCTCATTGCCTCCGGATCCCTAGAGAATCCACATGGGTTTTCAGCCTTAGTTGTAGATGGTTTTTGACCACTACTTCTTTCCGGTTTCTCCATGCAAGACATAGAGCCAGACCCAGGAGTTGCACAACATGTCAACATGGCAAGACCAAGAATCATATGACCGTTGGAATGCGCCAAATGTCTGGTCTTTTTCACAATGCATGTTGTTACCCATGCAGCTCGCATCGAAGCCAAAGAATTACCCAGACGCTTGGCGGACGCATTAACGACTTCTTATCCTGAAACCAAGTTGTGTGTTTATTTCCCCATCTACTAGTAGCAAGGACGCTATTAGGTGGAGGCCATCGCAAGTAGGTTGGAGGCCATCGCTACTAGGAGCAAGAAGCTACTAGTATTGTCCAGGAACATCAATGGCCTTTGATCCTTCCGCCCCAGCAAGCACGAGCGGTTGCACCACCACAGGCCTGCATGTGCAAAGTTTTTGACCGCATAATGCCTACAGTTCGTAATCGTCTTGTTGGATTTTGGATGAATTCAAGACTCTTCTTCTGCACAAAATTTGGTGCAGATGGGCTTTGGAGGAAAGTTTGGTCCACGAGGCGTGTTCGGGTGAGATTGGTCGGAGCAGAATCCCTCAGATTCTAATTCTACTCGCTTTTTGTTACTACTAGTAAGGCACTTGTTCCTACTAGCGTGGCACTTGTTACTACTAATCATTCTAGCCTTCACGATTCACAATCAAGCAGGCAAAGCACGTCCATCTTCCATGGCGTTGGCTGTTGAATAGTGGCTGTTTCTGGAGCTTGGCAAAGGTCTGTTGCTCAGTTGCTTCCTTCTGCGACCTGAACGAGTCAATCGGTGGGGTCCCAGATTCCCAGCCAGACATGCATGAGACCACTCGACTTAACCCTAGCAAATATGATTCGGCATTGGAGGCCACTACAATCATACAGTTGCAAAAAGGTGGCACTCTTCTTGACCATGTGTCTCTTCGGAGCCTGCATGTTTGTATATACCTTGCCTGTACATTTGATGTGTGCAGTAAAGCAAGAGTCAGAGTCATGGCTTTGGCTAAAGCTGGCTGTGCAAGTTCTCTGTGGACGAATTCCAAAACCGGGATGTGAAACAAATCAAACACATGTAAACACACAACTGATTCAGAGAGAGGCGATCCGGCGTCTTAGGTACCGCAGGTGGCAGGTGCCGCGACACCAAGCTTTATTTGTAGGCGAGGCCGTGTAATCCAAACGGTGTATTTCCGTGTGAACCCGCAGCAGAACAAACTGCGACACGCCGATGCAGACGGTTTGGTAAGTTCAATCGGTTTATAGAGTTCAAGCGATGAACTTCTCCGTGCTTTCGCTTCTTAGATCCCGACCTGTGCAGGTGGTGTTCCGCCGGAGATGGCTTCGCAGGAGATAGAAGAGCACATGGGAAAGCAACTGGTCGCAATGGAGCGCTCTTGTTGGTCAAACGTGCAAATAGCTGTCAATCCAGCAGTAACAGAGAACTGTTTCTCCTGAGAATTCAAGAAGCATCTTGTCAATTGGGTCAATGATGGACCGGATGTAAAAGCGCCAGTCGATACTAGTATCGACCTAGTAGCTAGGGGCTAGGAGCGTTTTCCCTTAATTGAGTACGCACCTAGGGTTTAAAAGGAAAGCTAAAAAAACTGTCCAGTAGTACACTGGCCTTCCTTCTTTTCAAACCCCGGCCTCCATGGCTGCGTTGGACACCTTTGATCATTGGTGAGACCAAATGTATCTCAACTGAGGTACGGCGAGGCGAGAGTTGTCAAGCGATGCAGAGGCTATGTCTATGTGCGCTTAGAAGATCCGGAGGTCAGGTGGCATGCGACTGCTGGTAGTTCTACTGGGTTGTTTCTAATTGAAGTAAAAACCAATGAACATCATGTAAGGAGAGCACATGCCATATGCCACCTATGCGGCTTGAGCAGGCCGCTGCTGCTGCTGTCAATGATGTGCATGTCGTATCTGGAGCAGAACTTCGAGTAGAGAAGGCTACTGCAACGAAGAAGCAGCTGAGAGCAAACTGTTCAAGCCATTTTTGTTTGAACATTATTCTCTTTGTACTCAAGCTGAACTTATGCACCGTATCTCCGTTGAAATCAGTTTTGTGTAAGATATATTTATTGAAGGGGCAATGGCATTTTTCAGATCTTTGTCTGTCCTGGCTAGTTGGTAGACTGGTCAGGCAATGGTACTGCAAAGTCGATCCTGAGTACCCACCGCGTGTGCGACTTCTGATGGATGGGGTGGTACACATTGAGAACATGCTTCAAAGCTGCACGGTTGGAGTACGTAGGCAAATCAAAAGACCTACTAGTACTTGAGGAAGACGGTGAGACATGTTGTGGTGGCTCTTCTGTATATGCTGGATGGTCAACACATGTCAACATGTCTGATGCTTGGGGTGAATTGAGGATGGACAGGCTCACTCACCGCTCACTCACCGAGCCATGGTTATTCACCATGTCTACTGTCGAGCAAAATTGTGTGGTTCTGCCATCCACCAAGCTTTTCAGAACGGGCAACAGGCAACCATTGTGTAGTCTTGCCTGTTTTTTCCTGCAAGAAGACAGATTGCCAGACACAGAATACTTTGAGGAAGCGCCGTGGGAATGCCACAGGAACGCGTTCAGTTTCTTGTGGAACACGTTCTGCTAGCTTTGTGACTTTAAGACGAGGCTGTCGATGGAACTGCAGATGAACCTTGTGCAGCAAGTCATGTCACTGGGTGGTGGCAGCGCTGGCTTTTACACCCCACGGTTTGAGGGGCGCGAGATGAAGCTGCAAACCTTTTGCCTTGGACGTCACTGGGCATCTCGGTTGACATCACACGGTTCCGCACCCAAGGCTACCAGGCACGATGATAAGCAGACAATCTTAGATCATCTTAGAGCTATTCCTGGAAAGCAACCGTCCTTTTTGGTTTAAGTCTAAGTCATTGAAGCGATCGACAGTTTGATTCTGTTGGAGTCGTGTCGTCGCTGTAGTTACATACTGTCGTGGCACTCTGTTTTGCAAGATTTGCTGGGTGTGTCGTATGACATACTGTGACTCCTTAAGGACACCCGAAGTCATGAGTACTGTGATGCTCGACTGGACCATGACAACTTGCCCGTGTTGGCCTTGCCATCAAACCTCTCGGAGCTGGCTCAGGGAATATTGTCGGACTTGGATCAGAAGTGTGGTGAAGTAATCTTTCCCAAGATGGAGCCAGATACCTGCATAGTGAATCATTATTCTGCATCTGGTTCCCTCGGTCTCCATCAAGACTCAGACGAAAGCGAGCCTTGTACCTTGTACTTCAGAATTTCTCAAGGGAGGCGTCATTTTCATAAGTGACTTTTGCAGCCAATTTTGCAGTACACCAAGTCTAATCATTTCAGGAGGCAAGCATTTCAGCTGGTATTCCGGTTCTGTCCATGTCCTTTGGCTGCTCTGCCCGCTTCTTGTTCGGCGACGATGGCAACTCTCTTCGCAGTACAATGCTCCGCTCGGGTGATGTTTTCATTTTTGGGAACTCGGCCCGTTTGCTGCAGCATGGCATTGCCAAAGTCTTTCCCAGGACCCTTGGACCTACTTGGCAAAGGACCCAAGTGTTTTCTGATTCCAAGGCTCAGCTCCTCTTTGGGCGGCTACGTTTTCAATCGTTTTCATATCTAAAATCCTAAAAAGGTCCAAAACAAATTGGAAAGCACTGGTGTTTAAGGATCTCAATCCGAGTTGAAGCCCAGGACTGTGCCCAAGCGGCTCAAGGAGATCCTCAAGGGACGGCTGAACCTGACTTTACGACAAACCGAAGTAGACTGAAAGAGAATGTTCAGATCTGTGCATTTGAAAGTCGGACAGAGGATTGGCTACATCCAAAAGCAAATTTCTGATTGCATTCTCTGACTGGAATCTGATGATGGCCTGGTATCCGGTGACTGATGTCAGAGCCGAAGACCCCGTGCTGACTTGCTCACTGCCTCAATGCGCTGTCCGAACAGAGTACCCTGTAGACAAGGTGATCACGTCGAAGCAGCTGAAGGCGTTCTTTTGACCATGTCGAAAATGGCAGGTCGCTCATGATGGATTGTGGCGCCTCCAATGCTGGTGGAAAACGAGTGCAGAGACTCTTTCTTATGGGCTGAAGAGGCTGAAGATAAGAGTTGGCAGTAAAGCTTTTGAACATAATGGTTTTCACCTTCGCAGTACTTAGATCTTTGGTGCGAAGAAATCAAGCAAAGATGGAAGAGATGAATTCAATAATTCTCAAAGCGCAGTGGAACGTAGAACCTGTTGGAAACGACAGACCTTTGGCATGGTATCCATCCTTTAGAAACCAGTAGTGTCAGATTTTGAACCATCGCTACAAGCAAGAAAAGAGACACTTTCCGATGCAGCGACGTTGCATAGGACGAAGCAGGATCCAAGTGTTTAGGATCCAAGAATTGTTCAAGACAAGCGCCATATTATGCATTGCCATAGATGGCTGTTGGACCCTGCAAACAAGCTTGCAAACCTCCTGGCAGCTATGGCCACCTGACTCGGGTTCTTTGCAAATGGTGGGGCACTTGGAAAGCTCAAAGACTCGAAGACTTGACCTCTTGGTGCTTCGCTGTTGTGATAAATCATTAATAAATCGTTACCCACGAATGTGTTTCTAGGAGCGTTCTTGCTCCTAGTAGTAAGGCCAGGAGCCCCTAGTAGCGTCCTTGCTCCTAGTAGCGATGCCCTTTGTTTCTAGTAGCTTCTTGCTCCTAGTATGTCATTAATTAATATTAATTGCTGTGAAAGCTTGTGGGAGCTTGAATCAAAGACCAGCTGTTGCTTGAAAGGCACCTGAATGAGCTTGAGCAACGAGGAGAGGACACGTAGCTTACAGGAGAGGACACGAACCAACAGCTTTTTGTTACTCAGGCCGGCGAGGCGGAGGAGGAGAGAGAGTGCGGCTTCGCACGAGCGATCACAGGTAGAATGAAGCAAAGTGAGTGAAACAAGTGCCTTACTAGTAGTAACAAGAAGCTATTAGCTTATTGTTTCTACTAGCTTTTTGTTACTACTAGTAAGGCACCGGTTACTACTAGCGTGGCACTTGTTACTAGTAGTAACAGTATATAACTACTTAATTCATGGAGAGACTCATATGTGTCTAGAGCGGACGATCGATGTCATAGATGTCAGAATGCGAGCTGTTCACACGTGATTTGAGACACAGGTCGCCACTCAAGTCTGGGGTCGCAGGGGCCCTGTTGTGGCTCAAGACATGGAACCTGTATGTGCAATGGAAGAGAGGTGGCTTCAATCTTTCTTGTCGTCTTGCGAGCTGCTCCACTATGAGGTTGGATGTAGAATTGTCATGAACTGGGAACAATTGAGTTGCGCTTTTTTCCCTGGAACACAGCGCTACATATTAGGAGGAACTGTTGTCATGGCTGCGAAAGCTTTTGCTCATGTGTTTCATCATGCGCGAAGGCTCGCGCAGCCATTTCGCGTAGAATCTACAGTGTTTTGTTACTTGTTGCGAAGGTATTTTGCAAACGCTGTGTTTTTCATGACTGTGCTATGTAGAATGTAGCTAACACAAAACCTCGCGAAGCCTTTCGCGAAAGCACCACCTGGGGAGAGAGATTGGCGAAAGCTTCGCGGGGGTATGGGTACCTAGTGGCTGTCCCCGATACCACACAAAAAGAATCAAATAAAGCACGACTCAATTGGAAGCAGTCTTGACTTCAATTGATACTGTGATGACTGGGTCCTGATGTTCAGTGTGCTGTGGAGATAGGCATACCCTGGGGAGTGGGCTTTTGCCTATCATTGTCCTATCCCCTTCGGTTGTATCGCCCTGACGGGGTGCAGGAAAGAGCATGCCAGTGGTGCAAAGAAGTGGGTGCAGTGCAGCTGTGTGAAGTGATGGAGAATTGGCAAGATCTGGCCGAGCACTTACGGCTCAAACCAGCAGAGAGGAGGAGGTTGGCAGAGGTGGGGGGTCTATATAAATCTGCAGAGGAGTCAAAGTGAGTCTAACAAGGAGTTGAGCATGGCCACTGTTTATTTGGTCTATATAGATTCTGCGAAATTTCCGAATACATGTGAATGCGCCAATTCGCCTATGCATCAGGTGTATCTGTCTAAAGTGCAGCAGTCAATATGACTCAACTGCAAACTGCGATCCTCAGGTTTCAGGTGACCAAGAAGATTCTGCGAGTAGCTGGTTGCTTCCATGGTTGGAGTCATTGCAGTTAGCACACTACGCGCCAGAAGCGAAAGCTTGGTGTGCGCAACTTGGCTCGAATTCAAATGACCAGATTTCCGAGCTCACCCAGGTCATGTCAAGCTTGTTCGATGTTTGTTAGCCAGGACCCTGATGTGGACAGAGAAGCAACTAGTACTGGTATACCTTCCAGTGAGGTAGCTGTAGGAATGCTCTTGGTCTCACACACCAGTGGGCCGCCATCCACTAGATGGATGAAAGGACCATGGGCGCCGTTGACTGCTCCGACCTGAAAGATGCCTGGGAAGTCTTCGCAGCCGATCTTCGGCAACTTTGTAGCACAACCTGAGTTGCAAAGACTTGCAGAAAGTGCTGATGTAATGTTGCAATGTAGCAAACAGAAAGGAAGCGTTGGCAGTTTCAAACGCAAGGAAGTGTCGGCACGGGGATGAAGGGGTACTGATTTAGTGCAGCAGCGTGGTGCGATGCGATGTTTGTGTGTATGTGTCACAATATGTCTACACTTGCAGGTAAAATGTTACTCTTGTATCACTTTGTACCAGCATTTTGTTTGAACATTACCAACGCAAAGGCAGCCTCAACTATCACAAGCCTTGCCAACAGCATCTAGAATCTACAACAATCCCCCTTGTTCAAACTCAAGGTGACTTCCATGCTGAAATTCTTGGCTCCCTGCCCTGCACATCACCGATGCTGGTTCATATTGCCCCAAAGACTTTTGGGTCAAATCCGAAGTGGTAGTTTAAATTTGCAGTATTATAAGCTATACTATAATATATATTATACTGCTATATTGTATAAAACTATCTGTGTGGGGTGTTTGCAAAGGATACTATGAGGTATTTGAGGCAGATGTTTGAAGACAGTATATATATATATGAAAGTATAACAAGAACCACACTGGAACACCTGAAGGAATCTCATGCTGAGGATGGATGCTTTGGAAATCCATCGTCTTTCCCGCGCGTGTGCCGGCTGTGTGCCAGGCAGGGTGCGCGGGTCAAGCTCAAGGTACATATATCATATATATATATAGGTACATCCTGTGAGGACCTGGCAAAGTTGTTATTAGTTATAGGCAGTCTAGGGTCTATTTCGTGGAGACATGGGGTGTTCTTTGCAATCTTCCACTTGAAGCACAGGACCAACCTTTTCTCCCTTTCAAACGCGTAGTGAAGCGTTCTCGTTAAACTCTGGGGGTCTGGGGGTAGAACTGTAGTCGCGTGATGTTGCTTTGGTGTGCACAACTGTTGCCAACCGTCGCCACCGGTTATGGCCTTCCTGTTAAGACCGAGCACTTCGCAACCAATCATAATCCCCCACCGGATTACGGATTAGGGATCTTCGCGGATTAGTGGGTTTGAGGGGATTGCGGATTTTTCCCCACCTGGCAGGTGAGGGTTGTTAGATTTTATGTCAGCTGCCGTCCTCCTCCTCCTCGTCCTCCGACTGCCAGATAGAAGGCCAGCATGAATGTCAGAAGAGATGCCAGAAAGAATGTCAGAAGATATGCCGGACATATTGTCAGACAGGATGTCAGAAATATAGTCCGGGTTGCATGAGGCAGCCGTGGCAGGTAGCATGCAGCGCGGTAGCATGATGAATTATTGTCCGGGTTGCAGATTGTAGCGGATTATGGTTTTCAGAACAGCTTTGGGGTTGGCGTTCTCAGCAAATGTCACCGTTGGGATTTGTGTTCACGGGTTTGCCTCGAAGCAATGTTTTCACTCAAGCCTCAACTAAAATTGCGACTTTGAGGTCAAACAAAGTGTTGAAGAAGCGTGCGCGGCGCACCTTTTGCTAGACATGTGAAGGTGTGGCGCATTCACTTTAAAATGTAGGCATCATTAAAAATTTTAAGCGGAGGTACCTATGCGTTCCATATTTTGTTGGATATGATTGAATAATTGAGTTGCGTGAACATGTGACATGATGGTTGACAAACATCATGAAATCAGATTGAACAATTGAACAACAGAATGCCTGATCAATTTTGATTCATGTCCGGGCACGTTTTCCAATGCACGTTCCGAAGCCGTGGCCACAGGGGACCAGTTGTTGCGAAGCAGGCTGCGTGCAACGTCTAAAATACTTGCCAAGTAAAGTTGCATGATTTCACCCACTTCTGTATAACTGAATCCGTTTCTTGCACATTCCAGGAGCGTCGTTGCACAAGAGTGCACACAAGAGTGTCCTGCGAGAGTAACGTGTAAGCGTGTTAAGCAAGGGTCTCCCCCATGCAGTTTCCTACAGCAGCTTCACTCAGGTCGAGATGCATTTTTTTGTGCATTCGGGTTCGCAGGCTTCAGTTGTCTTCTTAAAGATGTCATGAAGTGCGCTATGCCGCTATGTTTTGTGGCACACCGGCATGCATAGATGAGGGGACAACAACATATTGTTTGCGCAGGTGTGCGCAACTCTCATAGCCTGCCCGAGGACTGTTTTTTGATGTCCCAATGTTAAGTTTTGGTTGGTGTTGCGTACGCAGCTGTTTTTTCTGCTCTTGGCAGGAGAGCCGCCCCGCTATCACAGTTCAAGAACGCATTGCTGCACTGGAACACAGGGAAAAGATGAAAAAGGTCGTTGCCAATGCAGCGTTTGCTTGATGGTAGTTGTCCTGAATCCAATATCAACTCTTGCCATCACTCGTGCGGGTTCATCAACCGACATGAGGCAAACCAGAGATAGACCAGCATTTTGATTGCGAGCAGAGCGAAGGGGGTACATGCCGGTGAAATCAAAGCTGAGCTATCTCACATTCCCCAAAATGCCTCCAAGACATCCGTTTCATTGTGATTTGTGTCTGAATGGCCGGTTAGTGCCCAGGTTTCAGACACACAATTATTGGAGTAATTTCAACTGTTGCCACAGAGTGCGCACCTGCTGTTTTGAGAGTGAATACCCTCAAGCGAAACCAAACCAAACAGGGTCCAAGTTTCCTTGTAGAAACGTATGGTTCGATCACAGATCTTTGCGATTCTTAGCACTCGAACACAAATGCGGCTCCCTGGCTCCACACTTCAGCCGTAGCGAACTTTGTTGCCGATTGATTTCTACAAACGATCCACACCCCAGCCAGGAGCAGTTGAGGCTGCATGTTGAAGATTCAATGGTTCCAGAAAAGATCTTGGCGGTCCAGGGCTAAGAAACTGAAGTGTTTCACTGCTAACACCTCACCAACATTTGCTCAGAACCTGGAACTGATGCGGTTCATAGCAATGTCCTAAGGTCCTAAGTGTTTGTCTACGACCATTTGACCAACATCAGATGATTGTGTAGCCGCATATCTAAATTGTTTGGTCTAGGATCTTCAAGAATTTGGACAGATGGACACGTGTAACAATGGAGAGTGGTTTCACTGATATTATATGCATTGATACATACACTCCCTTGCTGGCATTCTAACAAGCTATGGCAAGGCTCATGGCTATCGAAGCCTGCGATTCCTTGGTCGGGGTCAGTATGGTACTGCGTGCGGGGTCTCAGCGAACATAAGTTGTGAGTGTGTGACAAATCAGATTCGAGACAGTTGAGTAGGTATACGGTATATACATGGGCAAGTGCTAAATCATGGCCGGAGTGCATTTCTTTGACAAGCCTAATAATAATGCTTTCAGTTCGGGTACGCAAGACCTGCCGACGCCACTCGGTGGAGTCTCACATCTGAGAGTTCCGCATAAAGCAGAGTTGTCCAAAAGCAACCACCTAACAGCGTCTTTGTTCCTAGCTTAGAAATCAGGGTCCTTTGCAAGGAACAGGTGAGGTGAAAAGATTGGCCAGTGTAAAGAGACATGACAGTCCGCATCAACTATTTTGCTCTGCTCGTGTCCCTGCATTGGACTGTTTGGTGGTGAATCATTCTTTGTATTTAATAAAACACAAAATACGGGTTTCTTTTTGGTTTTAGATAGCGCCACATAGCGCCACATAGTGCCATAGCGCCACAGCAACTTTCAAAACACATGAAAAGATGCGGGTTTCTTTGGTTTCAGATAGCGCCAGTCAAAAAGAGGTCACCATCATTCCCTGTTCCTTCTTTTCTCCTCTTGAGGATTTGTACAGAGCTCTTTGTCCAAGCATGAATGCTGTGCCACAGACTCCCATGTGGTGGCCAGGCATTTAGCAGAATCGGGTGATACACCTGGACGTGACCAGGCTGGAGTTTTGCACTTTCGACTGCATGTGCAGAACATATATATATATATTATATACATTATATGTTGTTGAGATGAAGGCTTGTCGGCTTGTCCATTGGATTTGTGTGGTTACGATTCTCGTAAACAAAAGCCGTCAGCCATTGCTTCACACTTTAGTCACTTTAGTCAACGTGTCAGGTCGTTGCCAAAGTGGTTTTCCTTGACCATCTCAAGGACAGACCACAATCGCACGGAATTCACAGGATGGCGTCCCTTTGCGCACTTTTGCCGGCTCTTTGGCTCTCCAATCATGAGTTCAGGTGATGGAAGTAGTAGCTTCTTGTTACTAGTATAGCGTGCTCGCTACTAGTAAAGGCCTTCAACTTACTAGCGATGGCCTCCAACCTAGTAGCTTCTTGTTGCCGCCTATAGAGAGTCTTGCTGTCACTTTGATTTGAACATATTTTCGTGTAATTATTCTTATGATTCTTGCAAGGACAAAGATCGTGCTCTGGCTCTCCAAGAAGTTGAAGTCTTGAAGAGGACCAGCGCTCAGACAATGCTGTTGCACAGTCGGCTCGTGATGCCATTTCTGCATATTTCTCAAAGAACCAGATCTGGCTTTGAGTTTCACCGATCTTTGTACCAGCATAAGACAAGTTGCGCTTTTTCAGAGTAGCTCTTGAGGGCATGATGAATGATGACGCACTTCCTACTTGCAGCGGAAGCAATTCCAAAGATTCGGACAGCCAATCTGAGGCTAAAACATCCTAATGTGGCCAGTAGCCTCAGACGCGAAGTGCCGGTTCAGCGGACATAGCCTCATCTAAGCCCAGTGGGTCACCCAACTTCGTAGCCCGACTTCCAGGTCTTCGGCTTGGCCTGTCTTTCTACGTCGCATGCAATGCATTATGTTTCTCCAACCTAGAAGCAATGGCCTCCAACCTACTATGCATATTACATCTCATGTTTCGTCGTGTCATCGTGCAACGCCAACCGTCAGGTCACCCATGTGAATTCCTTCTTGCACTCAGGCAAGCTGCTGTATAGTGGCTTGAAACAATACTGACTGGTCTTAGTGGCGTTCAGCTTCAATAGCTCTGAATCGGAGCAGTTCAGAAGGTTTTGTGGATTGATTTCCGCTCCATGGCTTCGACCCTGAGACAATCCCTACTCTATCCGACCATGGTGAGGTGGTTTCCCTTCAAAGTCCAACAAGTTTGTGCTGCTTGAACCTTGATCGAGCCAAGCGGTTTTGACATCCAGAGAGAAGATTCGTGGTGCCCAGCTGGTGGTGCAGCGAAGAATGGGTGCCAGATTGAAAACCTTCAAGTGCTGCCAACACATGTTTGATGGATGTTCTCAAAAAGGTCCTTGTAATTACAGTAAAAGCATTGCAGGCCACGGCTTTCATGTTTCTGCCAGCTACGATGGAAACCAGAGTCGATCATGAGGCAACATGAGGCCAGTAGGTCGGAGGCCATCGCTTATGGGGCCATTCCTTTTGGGTTGGAGGCTATTCCTATTCGTGAAGCGTGACTCGTTGCCAGCTGGCCACGGCCAAGCCTTGGTCAATGTCATGGAGTATTGTGCAGGCCAGGCCAGCGCTGTCGGGCCAAACCGCAGAGATGATAGGGCTACTATTTCAACATGTTCCAACTGCCTGAAGCTGTTGAATTGCCTGTATTTGGCATTATTTGGGCTCCAACTTGCCACCAAGGCAAGATACTCTCGGGCCTTTGCAGATGCATGACAGACCTTTTAGTGTCGAAACATACGCTTCGCACTTCGAACGTCAACTCTTGTGAGCGGCCAACTGTCATTGGAACATGTACAAGGAAGCTTTCTTGGGTATCGTTTCACCTATAGTAACAAGAAGCTTTTTAGTATGTCTTTGAAGCTCCTTAGCAAGTAACATGTACTGTAGAAAGATGACATCACATTTAGTGCGTTGTCGAGGTACATGTGACAGGGGACAGGACTCAGCGTCACCCGCCCAAGGGGGAGACCTTCGCATTTGGTTAGACAGCTTGGCACAGGCATCTGAGCAGGGGGGCTCAGTTGTAGAACCATCCACAGCATGCATTTGCCTTGAAGACCCAGTCAGGTTGTTGAGACCCTCATAGAAGATGATTCGATCAGTTACTTCAGTGAGTGTTGACGGAGTACCAAAAAGGCCAGGAAGCAGCCTGCCACACCTGGGTATGTGAATCAGTTCAGTGCCAGTTCCGATCCACTGTGGGTCATTCCCTTGAGAGCACCACTGACCAGCGATGCCATTCTTACATCCTTTCAATAACACTGAATCCTGCGAGTGTTTTTTTTTTTGTATTGTATTCTGAATGCCCCCTCTATGCACCTCTCGAAGAATCTGAAAAACACGGCGCATGCCACGATCTCTTTGATTCTGAGGCGGCTGCCAGAAGACTCGGTCTTGCACCTCTTCTCCCAAATGCTGAAAGGAGTCGAGTATGTCGCTTGAACTCGAATGGAGATGACCAACTGTTCCAACAAATGATGCATGGTGTTGGGGTACCGCAAGCAGCTGCTGTCGGAGTTGGAAGTGTGTCTACTGTCTATGCGTCTCAGGAATTTGCTCCCATGTATTCTGCCTTCATGACAGTACTCTCGCGAATCGCCTGTGGGGGCATAGTTGGGGGCATATTTTCTTCCGGTTTCATTCCTTTAAGGTGGTATCTGATATATATATATATACATACATATATTATTTTATATATTATATATATGTATATTTGCTCGCTCTGTTGCAGCGAAGGTTCACTCCTGCCATATCTTGCACCGAGACCTGAAGACATCCAATATGCAACTTGGCTTCTACACGTTCTGCAGTTGAAATGCACCCTTCTTTAGCACAAACCATGTACTCCAGTTGCTCGGGCTGCGTTTTTTGTCAGCTGTAGCAACTGGCCATGCTTCCAGGCTTCTTGACGTGGACCACCGCATTGTCAAGGCGAAGTGGTGGACGTCTCATATGGAGGCTCTATTGAGGCTCAGAGGTTCTGATCAAAAGCGCTAGTGCTTCTTTTTGCAGTTAGTAACCAGAGGACGCTACTAGGAGCAAAGGGCATCGCTACTAGGAGCAAGGACGCTACTAGGGGCTCCTGGCCTTACTACTGGGAGCATTTAGACCAGTAGGTTGAAGGCCATGGCCTAGGCCATTGCTAGGTTTCTTTCTTTCTCGCTTTTCTCTCTTTCTTTTTCGCCACCTTTTTGTTTCCTGGTCCAGGTGGGCGATTTCGGGATCGCCCGAGTGTTGGAAAGTACCACGGCGGTAGCGGTCACAATGCTTGGCACGCCATACTACATGTCGCCTGAGGCTGGGTGGTGGATGGTGGTGGTGGCACATGAGCTGTGGCTTGCTAGGATGTGGGGACAGAAAAGATGCGAAGAAGATCTTGCGAGTTGTAGCTGATACTCCCTCATCATCAAGGTTTCAAGATGGCTTGGACATCTGGCCCTTTTGCATCCTTTTGCATCCTTTTGCAACTTGCAGTCATGCATATGATTTCGTATGGCACATCCTATACCTCATCATGATATTATGCGGCATTCTGTAATCTTGCCTTTCCGCTTCCGCCTACATCTTCATGTGCAATTCCCATGCCTGCGATCATATAGCCTGTGTCATGCGACTTTCCACCTATCCCTTGACAATCAAAGCCTGGTGTCTGAACCTCTTCTGACGGATGAGCGCCGCATGAAACAACACAATGTAAAGGCCAAGGTCACAAGTAGATGGATGTAGGCGGACACTTGACTTAAACTGCTTTGCGTCCCTGACTCCTGCCAGTATCCATCATATTTCAAGTTTGCTACGCTCACTACGCTTCCACCTTTCTGAAAATTCTTATTCAAGGCATTCTTCTCGTTCTTACTATAAGAGAAACAAGATGAAACAGCAAGATCCTCTGGTCTGAGGCATTTCGGCTCTTTGTTTTCGCACCCCACTTCTTGCCGTTCGCTTCGGTCGCGATCGATCGAACAGTCGCGATGGACGTCCTGGTGGTGGGTGGCGGTGGCCGGGAGCACGCCATCGCGGTGAAGCTCCGAGAGTCCCCGAAGGTCCGCCAGGTCTTCTGTGCACCGGGCAATGGGGGAACCGCCCTGGAGGAGTGCGGAGAATTGAACGAAATGATCATGCAGTCATGAATGAATTATGAACATCATGAGTTAGGATAGTCCATGAATTTTCAGACCAAAGGAGTTTGGGAGTTTGGTGTTGCTTTTTGATGAATTTGGACATTCTAGGAGCGAATGACCAACTTGCCCATTGGTGATAGCGATGTGGCGGCGCTGGTGGCTGCAGCCGAGGAGTGCAAATTCATGGAGTTGGAGCAGTTAGAGCCCAGCGGCTTCTCCTATGTCGGAATCCATCGATTCTCTCGCTCGCTAAGGTTGTAAAGAATCGACATGAACACACACATTCCCACAGCTGCTTATTGGTCTGAAACGATGCCCAGGAGAAGAAGGTTGCCTTGGTTTTTGTTGGGCCTGAAGCGCCGCTCTGTGCGGGTCTAGCAGATGCCTTGAATGCAAAGGGAGTGCCTTGCTTCGGGCCTAGCAAGCTGGCCGCTGAACTTGAGGTCGAGGGACCGTGACGGACCCGAGAAACATGGACGGACAGGGGCCGGACTGGAAGTCTCTCAGAAGGAACGCAGGAATAATGCAATGGTGCACTAAGATGCACCACACACATATATATATATATTTACATACATTATTGTAAGCATAAGTTGCAACTATCCCTTAAGTTTATAAACAGCATGAAGCAACAGACACTTTGTCTTCGAATGTTTTGGAATGTTAGTAATGATCCTGATAGACAACATCCTCCTTTATTTGCTGTGCATTTGCATTGCCGACCTTTCAGAAGAAGGCAGGTTCAATGCGGACAATTTGTTTTCTTCAGGTTACAAACGGGTCGGTCGATGGATTCAGGCCCTTGTGAATTGCACACCTGCCAAATCGGTTGTGTTGACTAGAGCCTTCAAGCCAAGGACCCTTTTCTTCTCTGCAAACTCATCCCAACACGTAGCCTTGGAGCTCCAGGCATCGAAAGCCTTTAGCAAGGACTTCTTCGCCAAGTACAAGCTTCCAACAGCAAGCTACAGGACATGTGGACGTGTGTGTGAACGCGACCGGACAAATGGGTCGTACCAATTCCAACTCTGGCCAACTCAAAGAAACAGTACGGCGATTGCTACCAAAGCAAAAGGCGGTGCGCGTGCAATCAAGTCAACAGCTCTGGAAATAGCATGGACCTCTCGCGCGAGGACATTCAAAACCGGCGAACACGAAGCCGCACTGAAATATGTCGAGGACCGAGGACCAGGGACCAGCTGAAAGGAGCATTCCTTAGATTGCACTGTGAGCACTCCTTCTCATGATGTGTCACAGGCAGGACATGCAATGTCATTGAATTGTGCAATTCCACATGCTCATATTGCTGGTGCAATTCCACAAAAACTTTGGCCTGAGAGATTCGTGCGAGTTGGGGTGCTTGTCGCAGGAAGAGTACGGAGCAGGGCGGGAGTTGGTTGTTAAGGCCAGTGGACTTGCAGCTGGAAAAGGCGTGCTGATGCCGCAATCGGTGGAGGAGGCTAAGGAGGCTGTGAAGGAGGTCATGGCGACTGGTCCGCATTTGTGGCAAAGAGCGGGACGCTGGTCTAAGTCGACACAGTCTAATTTAGTGTACAGTATTTCTAAAGATGTGCACTGTGCTTGTCGTACGTCTCTGGTTTTCTACAGGAGAGGTCAAACAAAACCAAGACCTGAATAACACTGGTTCACTTACCTGAGGTTAACAAAGTCTTCGGAGCGGCGGGTGATGAGCTTGTTGTGGAGCAACTGCTCGTGGGAGAGGAGCTCCTTGCTCTGCAATGTGAAGGTGGATGTGGCGCATCTTAGAGACTCACTCTTCTTTGGCAGTCCTTAACGGAAGGAAAAATGATCAAGAATCTAGGAATCCTCTAGGGCTTGAGAAGGGAATAGACGAATAAGACAAAGCTGTAATATATGTGTCCCTCAAAATCTAGGAATCAAATCAGTGCTTTCGTGCTTCTTCAGGGAAGCTGGAGCTTCCTTGAAGAACCGTGAGCTATTCTGCGTCCTAAGTAGTAGGTACTTAAACTATCTTGAACTACTAGCAACCTCTCCCTACTAGCTAGCTAGCCTACCTACCTCAGTTGCGGTGTACCCCCCCTGTCTGAAGAAAAGAAACACAGAGCAAGACGTGTGAGGTGCAGCTGCATGGCCTTCTCTGATGGTCAAACTGCAGCCATGATGGTCGCTGCACAGGAGGGGAGCGGCGTAAGTTTGTGAATCCCATGACTTGGCGCTGCATTGCCTATAAGGTTCATCCTCTTCTAATATGAGTTGGTGTTCCAAGAAATACATCATCCAAAGCCCAGGACCACAAGCGAGTAGATGACAATGACCAGGGGCCAAACACTGGCGGCATGGGTGCCTATGCCCCGGCTCCATGTCTCACGGATGACCTGAAGCCTTTTGTGAAGGAGGCAGGGTGCCTTGCAGGAAAAAGCACTTCCATTCCACCTTTGATTCCCTTTTTGAGCAGTGTGAGAGCAAGGAATACAAACTGAAAGCTCTCAAGTATACTACACTGGCAGGGTCTTCTGAGATGTCGGGAGTGGTCCGATTCTCCAGGGTCGAGATTGTGCGCTGGTCAACAGATCTTGTGGGAAAAGACCACGCATCTGGATACATGCACTGCAAAGCAGTGATTTCACACATCGTTCGCATCGTTTAGCACTCCCGCTGTCAACTTAAGCTACTAGGAACAAGTGCATCGCTTCTAGTAACAAGTGCCTTACTAGTAGTAACAATGTTTGCTATTAGAAACAATAAGCTAATAGAAATTGCAGTGCCTCACATGCTGTAGAAACTCAACGTGTCCGCTTCAACGCGGGAGGTGCTTCAGCGCACTGTGGAAGCCTTGGCCGCTGAGGGGCGGAAATACGTGGGTGTGCTCTATGGGGGCTTCATGCTCACCAAGGAGTTGATCCAAACGGAAGGAAAACAGACATGCAACGAAAAGCTGAAGACCACAATTAGCTGGGAAATCTACAGCTTATGCACAGTTTCTGTTGAGCGTTTGTTCCTTGCTGGGCAGTCTAGTCCTTTTTGCAGAATGCACTCATACACGCGTCCCAAATATAGTCTTCCCAGCAATTTGAGCACAGGCTTTTGACATGTTTTGGGTTGGGGTATCAGGAAGCTGGCTGACTTATTACCTATGTAATTGCAGATTGTCTTTTTCTTCCAGCAATTTATCCCGTTGTATATTAGTTTTTTGTCGATGCACATGACACACAGACACACACAGACAGATACACACGCATATTGCAGGATGGTCCCATGCTGCTGGAGTACAACTGCCGCTTTGGAGATCCGGAAACGCAGGTCCGCCACACCAGCGATCTCAGGCTTCAGAAACTGAATACAGTTCCCAACATGTACTAGCGAACAGACATGCCTTCATCGGTTCGTATTTGAAGAAACATGAAGAAAACAATGCATGTTGGAACACCTGCTGTTTGCAGAGACGTGCGGTTCTTCGCAATGTTGGATGGAAGTTGCCTCCGCATGATACACGGGCTTTTCATTATAAATAAACCACTGAACCACTAGTTAATATGATTGACCAGGGGCTTTGGTAGAGCCATGTGTCCCTGAGGTCCTGCTGCCATTGCTGGACTCAGACCTCTTTGAGATAGCCCTTGGTTGTGCCGAAGGCAATCTGAAAGCTCGAGTACCGGAGGCCATGGAGTCAAAAGGATGGAGTCAAAAGGGAGAGGTTTATTGACGTCCGCAGTTACATATGACTTGCCAAAGCAATGTGCCAAGTTCGTTTCAGAGAACCATGGAACACCTAGCAAATGTTTTACATACCTGCAACTGTATCATGCTCAATCCATCAAGACATTGGTAAACTGTTGGTCAAAGCTGTTGGTAAACATTGGTATTCTCGTTGTTCTCCTTCTCTGTGTTGATCTTGCTCTTGATGCTGTTGTGATCGTGGTTCTTAGATTGGTTGATATTGAGCCAAGCAGTCCAGAGGCCCAAAGTCCCAAAGTGAGCTAACCGCACGTATGGAGGTGAGATGGAAGCCTGGTGCAGCAGCCACGGTGGTTTGTGCTGCCAAGGGTTATCCGGGCTCCTACCCTAAGGGCTTCTTGGTCTTTCATCAGCAAATCCGCTGTGCTCGCCATGTGGTAAGGCCATGGAGTCACGGAATTCAAGCTTCTGTCGACAATGATCATTAAAGATCAACAGACTCATTGGCCTTACATCCGA